TTTACTGTTCATTCATTTTCATACTAATTGCGTTCGGTTCCCGTTCTTTCCTTTTTGACCTTCTACTGAAATACATTCGATGCCTGACCACCGTTATATGCTACTTCTATGGGTATAAGTAGTAGTAGTAGTAGTAAGTGAAGTAATAATAATAACAGTAGTTGAGTATTAAGCTTATATTTATGTACTAGGTATTAAGGCTTTCATCGAGTTATAAGTCCTAAGTTTCTACAGTTGACTTTTAATTTGTAGTTTAGAAAGTTGTTTACATAGGTTAGAGTTTCTTATAAACCTATATAACTAACTTTATTAGTTTTTTATTGATATGACTAAAATTAATTAATTGGACAGTAATGAATAAAAATGAGTAAACGAATTTCTTTAATTTACTATTGCATTAAGCTGGCCTTGATTATCTTCTCGATTTATGGAATATTTAAAATAATATAGAAGAATAGCATATATTATGAAAGAGGAGATAAGATAAAAAGAGGAAGAGATTTTAAGTAAAGTCTGTGTGATGTATTAAAATATGAAATCCTTTAATACGTTGATTTCGAAATCTAGACAAGAAGATTGTCAACGAACACTGTTCGTCTGTCATAGTTTTTTGATATCTATCCACGATGAGTGTTTTTTCTCGGGACAAATGATTGTTCAGTGATGAGAACATAACCATTTTTTTATGTACTGAGTATGATCTAACAAATATTAGATCAAATAAAAAATAATGTTTTTATGCTCGTATTTTTCCTTTCTATGTCAGAATGAGGGTTTTTAGAGGTTGCAATCATTTAATAATTAAATTCATGAGTTGATTAAAGCTAGACCATCATAAAAAACCTGGAAGTACTGAACGACCGTTTTGTTCTAAGAAAGGACTCTTCAGAAATATGCATCTACGATCTCAGTGACCAGTGGAGTTCAACCGGGTCTGTTGTGAGGCAGATACTCACTGAATTTACTCAGTGGACAGTGGCGCAATATCGTGGACTGGTTGAAGTTAGACATTAACACAGATGGACACCGGCTCAATGGTCCAGAGTTTAAGAGTACACGCGTGGCACAGAGGGTCCTGGATTCGAGATATGCGTACCGGACCGTGAATGCGCACTGCTGATGAGTTTCATACTAGGACAAAAGAGCCTTCTAGTGCTTCCAGGTTTTCAATGGTGGTCTAGGTATAATCAGCTCATGAACTGAACTATTAAATTCTACATCTTCAATCTTTAATTATTCTATCATAGAAATCCTTTAACGTTTAAAGCTCTCATGATCATTTTATATTAAGTAGATTCTACTGAGAATGTTGAAAATTCGACATTCATCCAAAAATATCTAACTAGTGAACTCATACAAGAAAAATGACTTCTGATTTCTTGAAATTCCAATAGTATAGTAAGATAAATAACTTTTCTAATATGTATCGTTACCAAGGTTTGACTTGATAATTTCGAATAAATTGAGCATTGGATAGATTGACATAGATAAATAATATGTTTGTAATATCCTAATGAGTAGAAGAAATTAGATTCTTGTTGTTCCGTTATACGATATGATTTGGTTCATTTCGATAATGCAACGAGAAGACGTAGTTTATCAGAATTATGTGATATATTTGCGCAATACATTTCGAACAATCTGATCACACATATACTTGTTAAGAACATTTATATATGAAAAATGTGATTACCACTCTGGATAGTAAATCAGTACTACTAGGGTAGGTTAAGTGTAAGTACAAATTGTTTTTTGAACACATAAAGGGGGTTTCAATTTTCGTATAGCCAAGGCTTCAATAAACCTTAGTATACGTCCTTGAAGGCTTTTGTACAACACAACAAATGCTGATTTGATATCAACCTTATGACCCGTCTCAATCAAATGTTTCGCAATGGATGATGATGTCTGTCTATCCTGTGATCTTATTTCACCATTGAAATTCATCTGATTCTGCAACCATTTTGGTATATGTTCACCCACCCTTAATTGCAAATCACGATTGCTCCTCCCTACGTACGTGTTTCCACACATACATGTAAATTTATAGACACAGTGGGATGTGATACAATCGTTTTCATGCTGTTTGGGCTTTCGGTGAAACATAGAGCTTGTCTTTTCGATAATGACAAGTTGGGCTGCATAAAATGTCCGGTTGATAGCTAATTTAAGTCTCTGTTTCAACATGAGACTATTTGTGTCACCTCAAAATGGTAGCGTAATATAAACTCGCTTTTTGGGTGCCAGAAGCGTCATAGGTCTAGTCATAATGCAACCCTTCCGGTGGTTTATGAACTTCAAAGGGTATATATATATATATATATCACATAATTCTAATAAACTACGTCTTCTCATTGCATTATCGAAATTCATCAAAGGGACTATTTGTTTTAAATTTGGTTCATTGTTTTCTAAAGAAGTGGCTTACACTGAATCACGAAACGTCAGAAAATCTAATTTTTCTACTCATTAGAATATTACAAATATATTATTTATTTATGTTTTCTAATATGTATAGACATTATTCATTAACCTCATATCCATTAACCAGTCTACTAACTACAATGTTACGTTAAATCTCTCTTGCAAAATATCAAAATTCAAAGAAGATGATTTGTTTACTAAGTAACATAATAAATGAACATCTATCACGGAGACTAGACTCAACTCAATTCTTCATTATCATTAATTTCATATGAGCTGATGAAATAAATAAAAAAAATAGTGACCTGAATAGTTATACAATATTAATTATTGAAGGTTTTCCATAGTAAATATGGACAAATACAAACTCAGATAGTAGAAAAGATTTATTCTTTATTTCTAATGTAGTTATTAGCCAAATCTTGTTGATATGCCGTTTGAGTACTGATCTATGAAATGAATTTGATCAGTTGTTTATTTATTTATCTGTTTGTTTGTTTGGTTGGCTTTGTTCTTCCAGTCATATATATTTCATGTTTAATTAATTTTGTCTATCATATTAGAACATGAGAATATTTAAAAAATATACATAGTTGAATACATAAATAAATACAATTTTTTTGTTTCGTTTTTCAAATCAACCACATTCTCAGTTAACAACAAAGTACTTTTGATCACAGATCACAAATCACACACAAACACACACACATAGTATACAGGCACAGACAGATAGTTACAGACCACATTTTAGATCATTTTCCGTAGTTTCATTGATAATTATTATTACGTGACATAAAGTTTTCTAAACTAAGAATGATGATAGTAGTATTAGTATATAGAGACAATACTTTTGGGTATACATTAATTTAAATTAGTATAAAGAGTATAGACATGCTTAAATAAATAAATAAACAAATAAATAAATAATAATATAAACTTATTCGAATCCCACCCCCACCTCTTGCTCACTTTCTCCCTTTCTATATATTTATATACTGTCATTTATTATCATTTTTAATTAATGAAACACTCAGATACTGTGTTTTATTACAACAGAAAGAAAACGCGCGCGCGCACACACACACAATAAATTTAAATAAATCCTTGGAGTTTATCAAAATTCAGATTGCATTAGGACAAACTTTCATAAATTAATCCTAATTGTTGATATCGACTATTATTTTTTAAAATTCCGCCGTAAATCCATAAAATCTTTACAATCATGTAAAGATTTTAGTCATACTTTTATTATCAAAAGGAGTTTTATGGACATTATAGTAAATTTAATAGTTGAAATCATGAATGAAGTGAAGTATTGAACGGTCAACTCCTGAACAGTGCGCATCCACTATCCAGTTTTGCGAGATTCGAACACAGGACCTATCAGTCTCATGCGCGGACGCTGAATCACTAGACCGATGAGCTGGACGGCATCCAATGATGTTAATGCTTAACTTCAACTAATCCATGAAATTGAGCGACACATCTACCATTGTCTTCAGTGAGTTACTATCTCACAACAGACCCGATTGAACTTCACTGATCACTGCTTCTTACTAGAACTTGAGGAAATACCTCTTGAAACCAGTCGCTAGTGAGCATATGTTAATTAATATCAGAAGGTGTTTTGTTACCTTATCATCAACTGAATAAACTATTTCGTTTTATTTCTAAATAGGGTTTAACAATGAAATCCAGGATATATGCTTTTTTGTCATGTGTGTGATTTATGAGATGTATGTAATTGTATTTCAGTGTTATTGTTGAACCCTAAACTAAAGCTCAGTGTTAGCTACTAAGATCACATTGCAACTGATCACTGAATTCGAATTCATTTTTTATTGGACTAGTCAGTGTTCATTTTGACTAAGTAGCTAAAAGATTTATGAATTGGGATTTAAAGCGATAGCCACCGAGTTTGAGTCACGGAATGAATATCAACAATGTAATCTAGGTACACTCAGCTAAAAAGTCGCAAGTATGACATCGAATTCATAGAGGCAGTTAATTCAATGGTGGTAATATATAAAAGAAAGAAAGAATTAGTTCATTGAAGGTAAAGTATAGTGTAATTTCCACCTCACAGTTTAAGGGAAGACAGAGAGTGTATATACCGACACCATTGTGATAGATTCTGAACCATGCCACACAGAGTCTCGAACCATTGATTACGATAGTCATGCGAACCCCAACCAAGTAATCTGCATCTAACAATATGGTTTAGACTAGAAGTTAGTGACTTCAAGGAATGATGCCACATTTTGATTTGCCCCCCCATAACTTTCTTCTAACCATCCTCAACACTAGTCAGTATTACGCGTCGTGGTAATCGGTGTTCAGGTATATGTAACACGTGGTTCAACCATCTCAATCGATAAAGATTCACAACCTCACCGACTGATTTACCACCCTACGTCTACCCTACGTTTATTACTTACTCAATGATCCCCACAGTTGCGAGTAGTATTTCTAAGGCTAATTACTTACAACTTATGTATATCTTCTAATTTCATAGATGTAATAGACATACAGACATTAAAAAAAAGCAAAACAACCTCACTCATAATCAAACTTACCCATGAACACCATGCTAATTGTTTACATATACGAAATATACAAGTAAATTTTAATTCATGTATTCTATATCCAATTTCATTTAATTTTTCTTTATATATATCATCTAATAAATTCATTGGTTTATTTATTAATTTCATTGATTTATTATTAATCATTGTAACATTTTTATTGATTTTATTTGTATTGATTTTTTCGATATTTGGTTTTATCATTTTGATTGTTTTATTAATTGATTGTGTTATATCTAAATCAATTATTGATTGTTTATTTAAATAAAGATGAAATAAACCAGTTTGTAATTGATATAAATTATTATGATTATTATTATGATTATTCGGTTGAAATATGAATACTTTTTCATTGTCATATTGATTCATTTGAAAATTAAATCCAATTATTGATTGATTGTTTAAATTTGATTTGAACATTGGACAACTTGAATGAATGATGATAGGAAACATTTAAACAAAACAAAAAGGAATGAAAAATAAATAAATAAATGATGATGATAAGAGATATTATTATGTAATAGTTGTTATATGAGGCATGACTTAAGGAGGAAGATCAAAGAACATTTAGTGGCGCATTGATCTGACTCCATTTAGAGTGTATAAATGATTGTTATCGCTTTTTCTCGTGTATCGTCGTCGACTTGAATCGCGTTAGTCAATAACGAAATTAAATAAGTCAATCAACGAGAATGGCATTTGAATATATATATTTTGTATGTAAAGTGAATGCGATAGAACAAAACGAAATGACGCACAGGGAAGATGGCTGGGAAGCCAACTCCATCTTTGTTAAGCGTTACTCAATATTTATAGTCAGACAAAATAAAGCTACAGACATGTGATTAATGGAATAAGAAGGGCACACACATATACGCTCATATAAAAACAGTCTAGATTGATAAGCGAATAAATAACAAGGTCAATGTATGACTCAAGTAAAATGAATAGAATGGGATGTCCGAAAGCTCGAATAAGGTATATGGGCTTGGGATAATAACTGACACTACAAACATATTATGTCGGGTAATAGAAGATATGAAAAAGAAGGAATAAGAACTGGAAAGAGTTGGAAAGGATTGGCCAGAACAAGGTTGGATGGAGAGTGTTAGTAGGTGGCCGATGTTCATCTACGAGGAGTAACAGGCGTAAGTAAGTAAGTAAGTAAGTAGCGAATATTAAATTACGAGTATTTATTTGGTCATTGGTTTTTCTTTGTTAATGTTTAGTTTGTGTTATAATTCTCTTCCATTGCCGAATTCCTAAACCACCCATTCACTTATACATTTCAATTCATCTGATTCTCTTAAATTATGTGAACTCTTCAAATTCTATTCAATTATGACGTAACCCATCTTATCAGTTTTTAATTCCATGAATCTTATGCAAACCCTTCATTACATCTAAAATTATCATACAATTTATATTGTGTGTCTCTGAAATCCATTCTATTATTGATAACCTTTGTCATTCCAATTCTTTACATTCACTTATGTCAATTGTTTTATACTATTTCTTACCTCTATTTAAAATTCTAACACATATTTGGTTGGAAACAGCGGGTGAGAAACCACAATATATAATGAATTCATATTATTCTGCATCAATCCCGACCGAAACTGCTACCTTGACGCGGTGGTCGGGCTTGCCTATCGTGATGACCCAACCGAGCTATATTGGCTGGAACATATGTTCCTGTAGGTTCTACCATGCCAGGCAGGTCGATTGGAGAACGGTAAGACTAAAAGTAGCAACTCAAGGTCTGAGGGCGAAGTCGTACTGCTGACTGTAGAGGGGTGTGGCAGCAGTAAGGTGTTTCCCTCGGACAACCAGCATGACAGCGATGCTGCCTTCCCACAAGGAGGGGTGGGGTTAGAAAAGGTCGACCCTAAAAATGTCACACCTCACTTTACCTTACGGATTTCCGTCTCCGGCGGTAAGGCCCTTTGAAGAACGGAGCTAACACATTAAAAACCTTCCACGAAAAGGCCGTGCGCGACCGGCCTCAAGCAGTTGTCCCTTGGGCTCTGCGGTCACGCTCCCAGGTCCTTAAGACCAACACTAATCCAATTTCCTTTTCAGGTTCCTCAGGAAATACCCTTCCACGGTGTGGGCAGCCGGGAAGTGATATCAGCCCTCATACCCGTAACAGCACACGATTCTGCATCCATATTCGTTCTGGCTCTATTTAAATTCATAAAGGAAACTAATTGTATGCAACTTCTGAGAACTATTAGTGAACTAATAATATATATATTCCTCTTATTGTAAGCTTCATTTTGACCTATAGATTATTATTATTACAATTTACTGTTCTTAAATTATGTCCAGTTTATTGATTACAGTCTCTCACGTTCATAACCACATTATGACTTGATCTTGTATAAATGTTATTTCCTAATCTATGATGTAATGTGGTTTATTTTCTGGTATATAAACTAAGTATGTTTGAAATAAATGATTCGTATAGTGCAAGCTGTTATCAGTGTTCTGGACCCAACAGGTAAGGTTAGGCGGACAAAGGACCAATAAGGACGCTATGCTGCTTATACTGGTCGAACGATATTGGTTTAGCACAGTACCAAGTTTGAATAAGTCGTATTTCGATTGACGAATAAATCAAGTGGTAACTAGCCGGCTATAAAGTCAAAACAACAGTAAAAAACAAAAACAAAGAAAAAAAAACTCATGAACAGCTCAACAGATCAAATCAATTCATGTATTTGGATTTGCGTTAGTTTCACTCAGTGATGACGTATTAGACTAATTCTGAACATATGAAATCCTTTTTTAAATAGTTGACAAATTATATGATAAGGACATTTATTAAGCGTATGATAGTTAACTTCAGTAGTGGAATTCCAGTCAGAAAACCAAGATATACTATCTAGATCTCTATTGGCTTATAAAGTGTAAGCTCAATATTAAAATGCATCAGTAGTTCAGAGAACAAATAGGGGAAAATAACTTGGAAGATTGATTTAGTTATGAATAGAAATTATTTAACGAAGCTCTGAGGACAGAGATATGGTATATTTTCGTTAAACTTTGTTGATACGACTTATAGAAGTATAATGGAGCCTCCAGATGCGCTAAAGAAGCCGAAGAAATTTCATTCCTGACAAAGCCATCTAGAATATCAACGTGTCGTGCTACGTTTGGGCAATAGTATAACTTGCCTCCTTGCTGATTGGCTGAATCATAATGATGTTATAGCCAATGCTAATAACTATGAAAAACAATTTTTTTCTGTACGTTTCTAATTCCTACCCAATAATCACTTCCCTTGCTTCTTCAATCGTCTGATTTGTGAATGTGGGGTTCTACACGTTCGAGTACCGTTAGTTGTATATCATATTCTGCCGTAATCATGTAAAGGATGTAGCATACTTTTCATTAATGAGAATAGACCCCTGACTTCAAGAGTAAAACTGCTTCCTGTTAACGGTGTCATTCACACATTATTGTCAAAGGTTCAAAGATCTTAGATTTGTTCAGTGAACTTTTGACTAGTGCACAATTGTCAATTATTCGAAAAGCATGCCTGTGTAGTAAAATTTCATTAATCTTTATGTGATCAGAATGAATTAAGCTTGATAGCCAGATCCCAAAAAACTAAAACCAATATACAATAACTCAATGCATTACAGGCTTAAACAAATAACAATGAAACCATACCTGACCTGATTCGTGATTATTTGTTCTTAAAAGTGTTGTTAAATCCATTTGTCCTTATATCCAAGTTAGTTGTCCTGTTTAGTCAATCTCTAACTATGTGAACAATTGAGATTTTATGTATGATTTGGTAGATCCGATTTATCGTGACATGTATATTAAGTACTAATCGGTTTGAATGCCATGCAACAAGAAAATTGTATCTAATTTATGTTTATTGCTTAGCTTTTACTAGTAATATTTTCCTAGAAAAGAATACTAACAATTTACTAACCGTTCACTCTGTCATATCAATTGATTCATGCAGTCGAATTCTGTCGTATTCTATCATTAATTTAGTATGAATAAATATACATCAATGGTCCATAAACCAATTCGTCTAAGAACATCAATTACACATTCAGAACTTAAACAACACTGATTATCCTTCTGTAATATATAAGAATATACATATCTAATCAGTTCACGAGTTTTACAAATAATACACTTAACGCCTATCCGGATATTATTGTATGAAAACTTTTCATTTGACTCCATTCTGATATATAAATATATATACTATTGTTGTGAAACACTTAGAGATTGTCAACTAGTAATGTCACATTTATATCTCTACATATCTCTTGGTCTTTTTATATACGAACATATATATATATATATATATATATATGCCGATTTACATACCCTTTGTATAATAAAAGAGTTTCCTTTGAATCTTCATTTCTTTGACCAGATTTTATCCTGTCTATCATATAACATTCTTCAACAGTAATAGCTTTGTAAACATCTATAAAATTAAATGGTGGATATAAAATAAATATTCTGTTCTAATTATTAGACAAATAAACAATTGAAGTTAACCAATATATTAATAAATAAGGTTAATCGGTTCACAATGATGATCTTATGTAATATAATATACAATAGTATCAAATACAGTAAAATAAAAGAACATTTTTAGGGTTCAATATTGTTTAGATAGGAAAGAGTAGTTCTAACAATAGCGAAATGGTCATTCAGCTGTATGATTTATTATCCATTACATAACATTTATAAAGTTTTGTAAGGTTTTTAACAAATGTGGATTTTTATCAGAAGGATTTTTTTGGATATTATAGTAATTTCAGTGGTTGAAATTATGAGTCAATTAAAGCTAGACCATCATGGAAAACCTAGAAGCACTAGACTGCTGAGGAGTCTTACAATAGGGCGAAGCAGCCATCCAGTGCTTCCAGGTTTTTCACGGCGGTCTAGCTTCAATTGACTAATGATCTAAACTATTGAAATAGGGATTTTGTTTGTTTGTCTTTTTCAGCCAAAAATTTTCATACACATAACTTCTTAATTAATCAAGTATGATTCAGCTAATAGTGACTAGTTGTCCAGATCATGATTATCCACATTCATCAATCATACTGTCTAGTTTACAATTAGTAAATTCAAGTTTCCATAACAAAAACAAATAGTTTAGTTAATTAGAGTCTTTTAAGACATTGTTATATTTGAGTGTTAAAACATTTTACAAATATCATTGAAACTACAGACAAACCATTGGAATGAATGGTGTTCGGTCAACTTCTTTCAACTACAGAACTATTCTAAACTGTTGATGATTAATGAACGACTGTTAAAAATAATAACATTCATTTATATCAAGTCATCAAATTTTAAAATGGATCTAAGATGATCAGAAACAAACATTTCCTTCATTAAAACACCTTCATTTTAAAACATTTATTCATTTAAAAAGTCCTTATGATTACTCTCCAAAATCATGAGAACTGATCCTTTTCATGCAATAGACTTCTTACATAAATTTAAATTGAGTGAAAACAATTACTTTTACATAAGTCTAAATAGTGGATAGGTATGAAATTCCAAAACCTCATTTCATACTATGTAGAGCTTGTCAGATAGATTTACCATGTCACGTAAATTCAGTACGTTTCACTTTAAATATCTAAAGGGTTATTTATTGAGGTGCTTAATTCGAACAATCGCTAAATTGTGTAACATAGATTAGCTGTTTAAACCAACTATCAATTTTACATTAAAATATTAACATTCTTATAAAATTAAAGAAATGAAGTGTTCATTAGAAAATAACTAATTTCATTACAGTTATGAACAAACCAATGTTAAACCACCACTGAAAACCTGGAAACACTGGACAACCGTTTCGTTCTAGTATGAAACTTGATGTGTGCGCGAGAATGATAATGATTAGTTGTTTGCTTAGTCAGACATATAGATAGTCTGACAGGTGTCAAATGAGTTATATATTCCCCTATCCTTATAATATTTATTGTTGATTGTTGATTGTTGTTGGATTGTGTCGGGTTTTGGTGTGAAAATATATTTACATTCTAGTCATGCTAATCACGTGTTCTTAATCTGAGTTGTGTTGAAGTCCTGTAGAATAGACACTGGGAGGGAATCTAGTGTAGATATTCGTCTCAGGTAAATTAACATCCCATACGTGTAAACATGTAAACCCAACCGTTATAACATTAGACTAAGTAAAACCGAGCGTTATAACAAAACTATTTTGCAGTCTCCACCCACGAGCCTGCACGCGAAAATCGACCTTAGGACCTTCCATATCGTGCACTAACGCTTTAGCTCTTGACCAATGAGCCGGCATTCAATGAGGCATTTGTTTAATTCCAATCAATCTACAATGTTATGCGATCATCTTCCATTGTTTTTTGATGACAATGGAATTCGTAATCATGGTTGACAAAAAACTATTGTAATTGAAATAATACTTTTAGAATATTGGAAATAAGCTGATAACGATTCATTAAGAAAAACATGAAGTTAATTCGTAAAAATTAGTTCAACGTGATTTCACTGAAGGACTTAAAAAAGAAGATTAATTGCACTTCATTTCTGTTATTAAGGTAGACGACATTTAACCGCCGACATAAATTTAGACAGAAAAGTTAGTTTTCAGCCTTCTAATACTATTTGCGAATTATTTCAAATAGCTTTATTCTATCCATCTCTAGCCTCGTGTAGATAACTTTTCACTGTGGATGGTTCAATGACGATATGTCTTTGAATCGAATTCATTAATAATGTATAGTTAATATATGTATGGTTTATTTAGGAAAAAAATTTCTATTAAAATCACTTATTTACAGCTTGATCCTGTATAAAATGTGCATGGATAATGAATGTGATCTCATCATATTCTAAAAACTTTCAACAATTATCATCTGGAAATTAACTCCTAAAGTAAGAGACAGACTATAAGTACGCTCTCTTGATAGTAAAATGGTGAGAATACCTAATGGAACATTAAAGAAGTTCAGTCTAACAAACTTCAACAGTTAGTTCTGTAATCCCAGTTTGTATAGAAAAACATGACTCAAAATTTTGAAGTGTAAATCATTGAATGATTCCATCTAGAAAATTACTAGAAATTAGAAATGTCATTGGATAGATATTTCGTCTTAATATAGGATTACCCAAATGATGTATATAAATGTTATGACTCGGTAAGCATAATGAATGTTAAATTTCGGGATCCATCTATGGATCAATACTATGCGTAGATTTTTGTCGTATGGTTGTTAACTAACTAAACTGTTCATATTCATGTCCCTCTTATTATAAGCTTTATTGTGACCTATGAATCATTATTATACGGCTTACCATTATCGAATTATGCACTGTCTATTAATTACTAGCTTCCACATTCACAGCCATATTAGACTAGATCTCGTACAAATGTTGTTTCCTATTTTATTGGTACGATGTGGTCTGTTTGGTTGGTATATAAATCGAGTATGTTTGAAATAAATGATTCATATCACAGAGGCTGAAGTTGTTGTTCCAGACTTAACTGGCTGGGCTAGGCAGGAAGCAGGGCCGATAGGGGCTCTAGACTGTTCTCACGGATTTTATGCGTCGTTGATCCGATCGATAATTCACTGCTCTCTAATTGGCAGTATCATTGCGTATACATTAACAGGACATACATGTTACAAGTCAAACAATAAACCAACTGCCAGAGATAAAATCAGAACATTCAGATCTCGTATCTGGTGTTTAACCATCAAACTACTGAGTAACCACAATGTAGTTTAAATGTCTAACTTCAATCAATTGAATTAATATAAACTATCCTCACCAACTCTTGTACTAATTACCAAGAAATTGTCAGATAATGTTTTCAATCTATTGCTAACTAGCTACTAATTGAAAGCTTCATTTGACTACTTCATGAATCATATTCTCTTCACTGATGTAAACGTTTTCGAACAGTTATATTTTCTTAAGAATATCTTGTAATATTTATATAAAGTTTTTTTCAACAATTTTCTTCCTTACATTTGAATACTTAAAAAGTTAGCGGTATTATTGAGAAGAAATCTCCAGGAAAAAAAGATATTCACAATCTCTATGACAATTATTATTATTATTATCAGTCAGTAATCTGTTGTATTTTTGATATTTGTTTGGTCGCCTGGATGACATGTATACGGTAACATGGAAAAAATAAAGCAAACTGAACTTCAAGGTATACACTAAAAGTTACATATTAAAGAAAAATATATATATAGACCAACTTATATGAAATAGCTTAGAAAGTAAGGCAAACATAATTCGCATGATCGATTTGGACAATACTGTCACAGTGGAATGAGTTTTAAAATGATAAGATTTGTATTTTGAGAATTAGCATTTAGTGGAACCCTTTATTTTGACATCAATTGGATTGTACGATGTTGTCGACTGGTCCTCCACTTTAGTGGCCCGGGATCTGACTCCAAGTAGATCGTATGTATGATTGTTACTGAATTATTGCTGTTGAAATATATACATTGCATATCCTCGTATATAATCATCGACTTAAATCGCGTTAGTCAATAATGGAATTAAATAAGTCAAATAACGAGAATGGACTTTTGAATACATTGAATATATTTTGTATATGAAGCGAATGGAATAGAGAGAATCGAAACGGCGCACAGTGGAGATGGCGGTTAAGCCAACTCCGTTTAGTCAAGAGTTAATCGATATTTATAGTCACATAAAAATAAATTACAGACATATGATGAATAAGATAAGAAATGTACACACATTTATGCGCTCATAGAAAAACAGTCAAGATTGATAAGCGATTAATCAATAAGGCCAAAATATGACTCAAGTAGAATGAATAGATCATGTTATTTAGTAACGGAAGCTGGAAAGATAAATATTTAAGTTTCAAACTTGTTCCTCAAGAGTACCTTCCTCTCTTTCGAGTTCGACCTCCGATTGAATCGCCCACTACTAACGAATTCTGTAATATATTGCAATAACTGTTCATTACTCTCTGATATTCAATAATTGTAAGGTTGTTTGCAGTTGATGAAATCTAATTTTTTTCAAACTTCATCTCTGTACTTTTTATTTAAATATCAGAAGAACAATTTAATGAAGTTCAATTATATATTGGGATTGGGAGTAGAATTTGAAATCAGGATATGTCTTTCGTTGTGGAATTATAGTGTAGTGAACAGAACACGGGTGGGGACAACCGAATGTATTTAGCACAAAATTACAGAGTTACTCGGTAAATAGAAACACCATGTAGTAAATCGTTAATCTGCAAAATATCAATTCATCATATCAAACCGGACTGTTCCTGTTGCAAACATCAATCCATTGTTTCACATTTCATTGTTCATGCGTTTTCCTACAAATTGAATTGTGTTCCCGCTCTTCCTTTCTTGATCTTCCCCCATCTTCTGCTGCCAGACATTGCGTTTTTCACTCGCGTCGTATACTACTTATATCAATATAATTAGCACGCACCACAGTAGTACACATTAAAAATAGTACACGTCATTAAAAAAATTCTCAAATACTGTGAATATAACAACAGTCTTGAAAACTAGCTATTTTTAATTGAAGCATAATTCTCCTAAGAAACTAGATTGACAATAATGTACATCAAGAATAATTTTGAAATTGTTAGTATTTTGTATATTATTCTCTGTTCTGTTTCACAACTGAGATGAAGTCTGAATTGATCTGGTTTCTATTGATAATCATTTCATCCTATCAGATACCTTCTGAATAACTAATCAAATATTTATTTTGTCAGTTTATTCATTTGAAGAGATTTCAATGAAGCCAGAGCTATGCGAGTTTTTTAATTCAATATCAATAAACAAACAAATCATAAGATTCTCATTCTCAGTACTTGTAGAAATAAGTAATATTAAAGTCGACGGGCGATGTTGTTTAATGTTGGAATAGGCTACCAGAAAGCTAGGAATGCCCAAGACAAGATATCATGCCAGTTCATGATGCCAATGATAATTAAATATCAACGGGTAGAATCTGCCTCGTTCGAGTTGTCGTAACTGATTGTTAGAAGCTTTGAGTGATATTACCCAAAATCATTCACGACGACTTAAGTCAAATAATTCTTAGCGCTGCTTAAGATCCCAAGTTTCTATCTCAACGTTTTTTTTCTATTCCAGGAATCTGTGTTTTCTTCTCGAATCATATTTATCATCCCTAACTTTTTGTTTATTACTACTGACACTATGATAAATCCAACTAAAGGGGAATTTATCTTAATAATTTAATCTTATTGTGTTAATATAGCGTTACAAATTGAACTTGTGTGTAAGATGGTGGTTGTAGGTAGTTAACAGGAAACCCTGGACCCGGGTTTCGTGCTACTTGGGACTTGCCAGCAAGGTGTACCTGTAATCTTGAGGGAACTGGTGCTCCCTAACGGACTTGATCCCATGTCATCCAGCTTCACAGTCAGAGACGTTACCACTGAACTATCTGGGCCGCGACCGACCTTCTGTAGGACTGAGATGTAATCACAGTTGATTGATCACCACCCAGTGAATTTGTGTGTATTTTACTGAATGAATGACAGAGAATTTTAAGAATCTTCTTTCTATGTAAACAAATTTTATCGTAGTAAATATATTTATGAAATCACTTGACAGATTATATAGAATCTTTATCTCTACTTACAGTTTACACCTTGAATTAATATGAACTGGAAGAAAAAAAACATACTGTCCATGGTGAATATAAAAAGAAATGGTCATTATGCTAGTTACAAACATCTTAAAGCCTGATATAAATATGGAAACATCGAAACTCTTAAAAGTACAAAAACAGAATCAAAGATAAAAGAGGGGAAGTGACAATAATGGAAAAACTAAACACACACACACACACAAGAAAAAGAAACGTAAATAGTTTAGATTATCCTGTTGTGAATATATTTGATTAAAATTTTATCACTTTTAGTTGTCATATTTAAATCCTGTGTAGATTGTTTTGATATAATACAAATTGATATCAAATTAAATGGAATTTCGTTATCGGTAGAATCCAGAACATGTCATCCCTCTTATTTGAAACTTGTTAACTGGATATAACTACATCCCAAATGTGATATTCACTCCATGACTGGAGCTCAGTATCGTTCACTTGAAATACCACCATATTATCCACCAAGTGACCTTTCAAGGGAACGGTACTGGGTTCGAGCCCCAAAGTCAACATCAACAATACAATATAAATATATACTATTTATTCTGCATGAAGAATGTAGTTTAATAATAGTGAATAATATCAATTTACAAATAGGATCAAATCATATTAAAAGTTAAAATCTAAGGCGAAATAACAGCACCAATTGTTGATTAGAACAGTCACATTTTAAAAAACGACTTACATACGTACGTTTTGTTTCTTAAAAGGAACATATTAACCATTCGGAGATCTTTCTAACTGAATAAGTATTCTAAATATTTACATTAAGATCCTTCTCGAAAACTTTGACTATCTATGCATAAGTAAATAGATTCATGATGATATAGTAATATAATATAGTTATTGACATACAAATTCAACGATAAGATCTAACAATAGTTTATCATATATAGTAACATATTTAGTTCATTTGTACTTACTTAGTTCATCAATCAATTCAGCTTCAAATCTGATTGGTGTTGACTCTAATATTGTTTGTACTGATTGTCCATTTTCATCTTTTACAGTAAATTTAACATCAAGTTTAGGCCATGGTGAATCATCAAGTAGATCTTGTCTATTAACTTTAATATTTCTGTTATCATTTTAAAACATAAAAATTAAAATGAATAAACAATGAAGTCAATCAAATGTAAATGAGTTAATTAGTAGTAGATTTAATAGTAATAGTCGAGAGATTAAACATTCACGTACGAGACAGTACTTCTTTAGTTCGATTTCTTGCAGTTGGGTGGTTCGTACTCAATGCTAAAGAGCCCTATACTCAAAAGAAACACCTATCTAGTGCTTCTGTGTTCTCAATGGTGGCCTAGATGATGTCCGTTCATGATACAAACTATGGTCATGGAGTTTTTCAAAAATCTTTAGTAGTAAAAGCAAATGAATTTCTGTCATAGTATAAATGTCAAGGAATGAATTATTAATTAATTGTTAAATGAGTCCAAGATGTAGTTTACATATTTAATCAATTAAAATGTTAATGTTACATGCTTTCTAGTATGAATACTCAGGTAGTTGATGGACAGAAATGACTAACTTCTATTTCAGAAAAAACAAAACATCATTAAATAAATCATTAAGTGAACTAATGTTTGGTTATAAAGTATATAGCTAACGTAATGAAATACTGAAGTCAGTCCAAGATGAATACTATTTCCGAAGTTTATAAACGTCACAACATATCTATTTAAATAGTATCCAGTTGTAATAGGATACACTTGTTTGAACTGATTAATTTGAACATATCCTATTAACACTCAGTCATGAAGGGTATCATGTATATTGATTTAATTTGTAAGTTGTAAGGTCGATATCAACTGAAGTACCCGTTGAAGATCACAGAATAATAAACGGCTGTTTAATTCTAGTATAAGATTAACCAGAATTAAACACCTATGACTCATTTAGAGGTTGAACCTAGGACTTTTAGATCTCCTAGTGAATGTTTATTAAACTTTTATTACTTACCAACAACTTGTAATCGCTAATTAAAATAAACAAATGTGGCTAAATCAAAATGATACTGAAAAAAATAAACACATGCATTAGATCTTTACTTTCTTACCGTTTTATCCATTCATACCAACTACCTTCGACTCAAATGACAAAATAATCTGATTGAACATAAATATTGTTTTGCTGTTTTTTAGTAAATAAACGACTTAAATTAATGTGGTGAACTCAAGAAGATTACGGATTTGTTTCCAGGTCATTTGTATTATGTGTATATGATGATTATTAATAATGTAGTTAAACCTAACAATGTTTTTATACCAGCGAATACTTCATGAATCTAATCAGAGAATCGTTATTATGAAATGATATAGAGAAAAATATCCTGAATCCTCTACACGAAAATTGATTGGATCTAATATCAATTTAATAGTCCGAATCCAACGTACTTATTAGTTCTGAACTTTATCTCTTACTAAATAGTTATTGTTCGTTACAGAGAAATTCCGTTTCAGCTGTTTAGCCATATGGTGTGGTGCGTGCTACTTATATTAACATAAGTAGTATATAACGCGAGTCAGGAATGTAATGTCTGGCAGCAGAAGATTGGGAAGATCAAGAAAGAAATAACGGGACTAGAAAGCAATTAGCATAGAAATGAAAGAACAATGAATTCCGAGACAATTATTGAACATTTTGCAAATTAGGTATTATAATATGATTTTTCTATTTCACCAAGTAACTGTGATGTGGTGCTAAGTATAATTCGGTTGTCCTCACCTGTGTTCTCCTTCACTGCAATAGTACTCTTTGTCTAGTTGAAGTCAATCTGTAATACAGTTTATCTAGACATTTTGAATGATTTAGATTTAATCATCTTTTATTGTTGCTAGACTTGTGTTCATTTGAATAGAAATGAACTAATTAATATGTCCCTTATTAGATTTATAATTATGAAACCAAAATAGTACTTTTTCAGGTAATCATGTCATTCACCGGAATAAATAGCTTGCTAATTAGATTAAAAGACCCACTAATTTTCACAAGTACTGAATGAGTAAGTGATAACTAGCTTAATAGGTTCAGCCTAATATATATGCTGAGGAGTCCCACAATAGAAAAAAACGGCCGTCCAGTGCTTCCAGGTTTTCCATGGTGGTCTAGCTTCAATTGACTCATGAATTTGTAGTGAACTACTTTTATCAAGAGAACGCGATTGGTTTAATGGAAACAATTATTATTATAACCAATTGTACCAGTGATTGTTTTACTGTACTTGTTCGTTTAACTGTACTAAAGATATCCATTATTCTTTCATTCTTCCTTCCGTTGGTTGTGATCTTGCACGAACTTAGGTTTACTCAGTAAATCCGCTTGCACTCCTTTGGTACGATCTCGGTATTCTTTCGATACCACCAACAAATATACTCAGCTACAACCTTCAATTGCCTTCTGATATTTGGTACGCAACCTTCCTGTAGTGGTGATCATAGTCAACCGCGACTCGACGCCACGCTACAAATTCAACTATTGAAATTAATATATAACTCAATTTGTTTGATTTAGTATCTTCATTAATATGACTAATCAAATGAAAGCTATGAGTTCCCGAAATTACTACACAGACTTATAAAATACACTAGCATAAATCAGTCATCCAACAAAATAGAACACAGTGAATGAAATTCAGAGTGCTTCGAATATTTCATCATAATTTAATCTAATTATCACTGAATGATTCGACTTATGACAACTAAATAAATATATTTATCATCTGCTTGGTCTCAAAGTATACATCTGTACATGGGGTCCTAATAAACATCAGTCCTCTGAACAAAAGGAATACTCAAATATTTTTGAAACAAAAATATGTACACAATAAACAACCATCTCGTATAGTTTTCTATGTACATGCTTGAGGTTTAATCATCATTTTGTCTACTAAGTCGATCATGAGTAAACTGTGGATATTTGTTTGTTTTACAAATGTTTCACTTATACAAATCTATTAGAAAGAAGATTTTGTGAATATTATAGTAATGTAATGGTCGAATTCATGAATCAATTAAAGGAAGATCATCATGAAAAACCTGGAAGCACTAGACAACCGTTTCGTCTTAGTATGAGACTCATCAGCAGTGGGTTCGAATCCCGCAGGTGGGATCGTAGATGCGCACTTCAGAGGAGTCCTATACTAATAATTCGAAAACAATAAACTTTCAATATTTTTTTGGTCTAAGTCAGCCCTAAACATAAAAGAAATTATATTGATAGTATTTCGTAACATGAAAGTTTATTTAAATGAAATAATGATTTTAACAATTTCTTGAAATCTTTAAACATAATTTACCTATACAAACAAAACTAAAGCTAAGACTGTGAGTTGTGAGATGTAATTGCTACTTTGGTTGAATGTTTTCAATAACGGATATTCTAAAGTATTTGATTGTATGTAGTACAGCTGTTATCAGCATGCTAACGAGTGCCAAACAGGATGAAACACATGTCTTGAATTTTACTAACAGCTACAATCTATCAATATTCAAAATCCTATGGAAGCTATCTTCTAATGGTGTAAATTAGGCAATAAAAACTGATGAAGGTCTAGTCATGAATGTCATCTACGGGATAATTAAAATCCTTATTAACGATTATATAAAGGTTGTACCTACTTAACAAGTTGGTGGTTATATAGATTCAGTAGCTCAGTAGAAATTTTGTTGCAATTCAAAAGTTACTTGGTCTGAGTTCCAATTTGGATATCAATACCATGGCAAATCAGTTGATGAGCTCAGAATAGGATGAAACGTATATTCTGAATTTCAATCCTTAACCGTAATCTATCTAGTCTGTACAAATTCTTTTAACTGATTTCAACGGTTCACCATGTAATGTTTAAGTTATATGTATGTATAAAAGTATTTTTATCAGTTAATATTCAGTACTTATAATGCTAGATGCTTCTTGAGTTTTTAAAACACAATTTGATGCTTTGAAGAAAATGCTTGATGGTAGTTATAAGCAAACTCTACAATGTACTATTCATTCTGTAGGATTATATTAGCTTGATATCCCTTAATTCTGGTGGATAATGATGTTATCAATATAATTCTGAGCTATCAACTCACTGTTTCAGATGACCATTTTGTCCACGAATGTTTAATAACCATATTTTTATGACAGATAATATATATGGCATCCTAATTATTATTCTCAAATGATCCTTCATCTACATATCGAAAAATTCGCTTAACCAATCGTTTGTAAACTACCTATAATCTTAGGAACTATTCAGATTAAAAAGAGTTTGTACTCCATTGAATACCAAAACATTTCCCCCAAAAAAGACTGAAGAATCAAATAAAAACACTGCATATCTTTTCGAATTTTATTGTAAATTTAGCTAAAGGCTACTAAGTCAACATATTTGTATTTTCATTGCCTTAAGTCCGTTAAAAGAATCTTAAGGTCAATTTTGGATTATTTTCTGGTTAGTTATGTAACGGAGATACCATTCCTTATTTTGTCTATCTAATATCAGAGAATCGGTATTTTGTATATTATATTGTGATGTGTGTTACTGATGTCGACAGACATTTAGGTAATATGTATCATCAATCGAAACTGAAATACCTGGAGGTAGACAATTTAGATGATCGAAGAAAAGAGAACGAGAACAGTCAATGGTTGCTATGGAATCGAAAGAAGAATGAAGTCTGAGACAATTGATTGACATTTTGCAAATGAACTATTTATTGTATGGTTCTTAGATTTTACTAAGAGATTCTGTAATTTTGTATTCAAATACATTCGATTGTCCTTACTTGTGTTCTCGTTCACTACAATATGTTTGAATTCAAATAATCAACGGTAAATAAATTGTCTGTTAATCGTATTTATCACAATCACAATCACATGTGTTCATATGAATTAAAACAAATAAAAATCAAGTTTCTATTGTGACTTAAATTAACTTCAAGTGACGTTTATACTTTTTGATGGAGTTTTGTTCTCTGAGCTTGATGGTTTGGTCGTGTCCTGTAATGTGCATCCGTTATCATTAGGTGTACCAATTTTCGTCCACTTTGCTCAGCTATTCTTCATTCCAATCGGCAGTTGACT